GGTCATGTTTGGTCATGTTGGGTCATGTTGGTCATGTTGGGTCATGTTGGCCCAGTGGTTTGGTCAAAGATGAACCGGGTCAGACCTTCACAGTTCAATATTTTAGACCAGAAGTTGGTCAAGTTGGACCTGACTGCACCTCTGCTTTCACTTTAAATATAAGACGGTAAAACATCTCGTTAGACGATGTTTAACTCAGTCAGTTTGTTAAAAATTTTAGTTAGACGGTAAGTTTTAGGTTCTGAAAAACTTTAATTAGTTGGTGCCAGCTAGCTGATGCTATTAGCTGTTAGCTCATCTAGCACCAACCAAAGTGGTAGTTATCTAACAACTTATATTTTGACTTTTTCTTATTAAATTATTTTCTTTAGTAGCCCGAATTCTACAAATTGATCATTTTGATCCATTTTTGGGTAAAATCAAACAAACAACTAACCTCGGTTCATTGAGTCAGTACGACGGAGCTTTAGGGCCACGCTAAAGAGAATAAAGTCATAATATTACCAGTATAAAGTCATAATATTACCAGTATAAAATCATAATATAATGAGAACTCTGACACAACAACTCAGTCTTACAACTGTTGTAAAATGATGAATGTTGACGTCTGCAGTACAACAGCAGGGGCCCAACGCACTATGGCACATGTATTCTTATGATAACTGAAGCCGCATGGCGTTGCATTTGATGGCTGCTCTGACGGGTTTAGTCGTCACATAATTTGGATGGAGGCATATTTCACTAACGGTGACCCAAAAGTGATCGCGGACTATTTCATCAACACAGTGACTCACAGTGGAGGATGTTCACAGCAGGTGCGAGTCGACCTAGGACGTGTTACAAGGTTATTCTTGTAATACTACAACTTTATTCCCGTAATACTACGATTTTATTCCCGTAATACTACGTACGACTTTATTTTAATATTTCAATGTTATTCTCATAATATTACAACTTTATTCTTGTAATAACTATGAATTTGTTCTCGTAAAACTATGACTTTATTCTTGTAATATTACGACTTTATTCTTGTAATATTATGACTTTATTCTCGTAATATTTTGATGTTACTCTCTTAATACTATGACTTTATCCTTGTAATATTTCAACTCATTCTCGCAATGTTTCAACTTTATCCTTGTAATACTACAACTTTAACCTCATAATATTTCGACTTTATTCTCATAACATTATGACTTTATTTTCATAATTTACAATTTTAGTCTTGTAATACTACAACTTTATTCACGTAATATTTTGACGTTACTCTTGTAATACTATGACTTTATTTTCATAATATTTCAACTTTATTCTCGTAATAAGCACTTTGGTTGGCCTCGTTGCTGTTTTAAGTGCTCTATCAAAAAATTGGTATGGTATGGTAATATTATGACTTTATTCTCGTAATACTATGACTTTATTTTCGTATTATTTCAACTTTATTCTCATAATATTATGAGTTTTTTCTCAAAATACTACAACCTTATTCCTATAATATTTCGACTTTATTCTCTTACGACTTTAATCTCATAATATTACGACTTTATTCTCTTAATACTATGACTTTATCCTCGTAATATTCCGACTCTATTCTTATAATAATTCTCATCGTATACATTTTATTGTTGTCCCTAACTGGGACCCTGTGTACATAATTTCACTCCACCACATGTACCACATGTGGTGCAAATGACAATAAAGAATCTCTGACTCTGATATTTCAACTTTATTCTCTTACGACTTTATTCTTATAATTTTATTAATTTTTTCTCATAATATTATGACTTTATTCTCGTAATATTATGACTTTATTCTCATAATTTTATTAATTTTTTTCTCGTAATATTAAGACTTTATTCTCTAATATTTTGACTTTATTCTAATAATTTTAATACTTTTTTTCTCGTAATGTATTTCTTTTTTCATAGCGTGGTCCTAATACTCCGTCGTAGGTCAGAGGGCCGACCTGCAGGGTTAAAACCACTCAGGCTCGGCTCGGTCCAAATGTGACCCACCTCTGGTTCCCACTAATTTTAGTTTTTAACCCGGCAGTTTTTACAGTGTAAAGAAAAACAACAAACAAACAAACAAAAAGTCTCATAGAAGATAGTTTAAAACAGCAATAAGTAAACTTGACTAACCTGAAGGACTGAAGGAAACACCAGTTTTACAATTATAAAAGACAAATAAAAAATACACAAATTCATAAATCTGAACATGGGTAACTAAAAAATGAGAGAGAGAATCTATTTGACCACTTTTACTATAAAAATGATTCTTAATGTTACTGGGAGTCACGGTGGTCCCTGGACGTAAACAAGTTGTTTCTGCTCCAGTTTTTTATAAAAAGAAAGAAATAAACTTCTTCCTGTGCGGGTTTTAATCTTCATGACTCACAGCTTTGTGACAATAAAACCTTCATTCTGTTACGCAGTCCGACGTTCATTAGCCGCCTCCTGAGCAGTTATTCATGTAAAAAAATAAAAGTTTAGTTTGGAAAATAAATGGCAGCTCTGTTGGATCAGCTGCTTGTGGGCGTTTTCTTACAAAAGATTTGTGTTTGGCGCTCGTAAAATCACAAAGTGTTTCTGTTTAACGGACGTCATGAGGCTGCATGAAATCTAAATAAAGTTTTCTCTAAATGGAGCATTTTTAAAACTGACCCTGGGTTTTCAAAATAAAACTGAACATTATCAGCAAATCCAACATTTTTCAGTCAGGTCATCTGGACAGTTTCTTTTTTTTTGTGCTGAAACGTTTCGCCTTTGGTCCGGAAGGCTTCATCTGTCAAGGAAACACAACAAAACTGATTGGAGTAAGCTGTTGGGGAAGAATCACTTTTGTTGTGTGTTTCCTTGACTGATGAAGCCTTCTGGATCGAAGGCGAAACGTTTGGATTGTATACCTGGATTATTGAGCATGGACTTTGTTATTATCAGCAAATACTAACTGAAAATAAATTGAAATGTTGCAGATAAATGTAAATGTCTACTAATGCAGCTAGCGTTGCTTCTTGTCCAACACGTGTTATAACCGTGTAATAAAGTTTTTTTTCAGCTCGCTGCGTGCTCACAAACACAACGTGCTACAATAAAACTTCCCATCAACAACCGAAGAAGTAAAGTTTCAGTTAAATCCAGTGAGCATTGCAGGAAAGTCTGAAACATTCTGCTGAGTCACTGGTTGTCATGGTGATTCCCGCCTTATCATGAGGAGTAGAAGAGGAGGCGGAGCTAACAGTAGTGTGCTGTCAAAAACACCTCAAAGCAACAAAAACGTTAAAAAAAAGTTTCAGTAACACGCCTGAACCTGCAGGGATTAAACAAATTAAAGACGCCTGTGTCCCTAACGAGTCTTTGTCCTCGGGTCCAGATCTCAGACATCCAGGTGAACGGTCAGTCAGACGACATGACGGCCAAAGAGAAGCTGCTGCTGTGGTCTCAGAGGACGGTGGAGGGACACCCGGGTCTGCGCTGCGACAACTTCACCACCAGCTGGAGGGACGGCAAGCTCTTCAATGCCATCATCCACAGGCACAGGTGAGACATGGACACAAGGGGGACGGAGACAGGTGAGACACAAGTTTTAGTTCCATGATTAGGTCACAGAGACAAGTCCATCTGGCTTCTAGACATTTATGTCCCCAGCTGATTTGTCCACACCCATGAAGACGTGTCTTCAACAACAAAGTCAGCATCAAGGGATCAGGGAGACACAGAATGTCTCATGCTCATGAGATGTCCCTTCAAACACATTGGACATCCTGCTTGAACTTGTTGGACTTGTCTCTCAGACCATCTATCATGTCTCCGTCCAGCCATGAGGCTGATGTCTCCTACCTACTGCGTCTCAGTAATGAGACGCAGCTCGAGCCTCGCTGGGTGTCTCCCAAGACGTTTCAACCCCTCGTGTCCCCTCAGACTGTCCACAAATCACCAGGGGACGGGGACGGCGTCTCAGACAGAGTTTAGCTTGTGGTAAAGTCTGCAGAGCCGAGGCTGAGACAGGAAACGTCTCTTGAAAATCTGAGACTTTTTTCCAAATAAAATGTCTTTTTTCACTAAAAACTAGTCCGACCCGCCTGGACCTGGTTCCTGGGACCTGGACCTGGTTCTTGGGACCCTGCAGGACTTTAATATTTGATGTGTCCATTTGAAGACTTTTTATTTCTGCAGGCTAAAGACAGGAATGTTGGCTAATTGGGACATAACATGGACATTAAGGACATGAAGACAAATGTCCACATGTCTCGTCCACTTTATTTATTATTAAAACAAATAAAATCTGAAACGTTTTGAAGTTTCAAAATAAAATGAAAAATTTCTCCATGAAAACAGACGACACACAAAAACCATAAATCTGTAAAAAACTGACTTAGAACCAGAACCTTCAGGGCTGCTAACAGAACCAGAACCAGAACCTTCAGGGCTGCTAACAGAACCAGAACCTTCAGGG